AGCGTTCGCCTACTTGAAAAACTGCTCACAGACTGGACTAGTTGAAACACTAATTTGCCATTACGTCATTCCTCAGTGTTCCGGGGGAAAACGAGTCTATCCTTGCAAACGAGTTTGCGGCGAATTTTTGAAGCGATGCGAAGACAAACTCCCTGAAACGTCCATAGACTACATTATGGCAGCTTGTCACGTACTTCCTGATGAATTAGGAAGTAGCGGTAAATGTTTTGAGCCACCTAACTTCTCCACCAATGACAGCATCAAAGGTAAGTACAAAAGATACCTTAGTTACTTGAGAAACCGAAGTTTACTTAAACTTTCGCAGTTATATACAAAAAATGTGTTTCTTTTATAACCGCTGTAACCACATAACAAATTTATGCATATTTCCAGTTCTGGTGAGTTTATCGCCCCGGGGGAGGTAGGGGAGCGAGGAGGGGTGGGTACTCCCAGAAAAATTAGGTAGGGGTGTGCGGCCCGCTTACCAAAACCTTTCCCTGTTGGCCAAATTCTGTGATTTTCCCTGCCCTACTTACGACCTAACCAAAAATTCGATACCCAATTAAAGACCTGTCTTAATATTAGTTTCCTAGTTCAGAGCGATGTTAATTAGTTATTTAAAGGCATTGTGGAGGGATTTTGTTGACGGTCTTATCGACAAAGGTGAAAAAGTAGCTTCTTCTAAAAAAACATAACCAATTGAAGACTGCAATGCAAAAACTATACCCTATTTCAGACCAGCATGGCCGAAAGCGATAACCTCATGATTTCTGACAAAAACGGTGAAAACACCATCCCCTTTAGAACACATACCTGTACGGGCCATATAAGGGAGTACCCCCCGGGAAATCTTTTTCGTCAGCACAAACAATTAAATTTTGTTGGCAAATGTTCAGAACGTTGAGATCCCCAACTTTCAAATTTTCTCAAATCAAAACTGACTCTTCAAATACTTTATATTTAAAGCAAAGCCATTTGCTTGCCTTCCTTGCAAAAACTATCCGGCGTTTTATCACAATAAATCACAGTAAGAATTTCGTTGTAGGTTGCCTCACGGAATGTGATGAGCTTGAGTGCGTAAGCTGAATCATGTCAGTTTTTTTTCTGTCCTTGCCCTCGACCTTTACGTCTCCTATTGCAAAGTTTGTTTATATCAGTCATTCGCTCTATCGATTACATGACAGGAAGTCAGTACCCGTGCATACATAATTTACTGCGACGTTTATTCACAGAGCATGGCCAGCGGGAAGGGGTGGGGGAGGGGGAGGGTTTTGACATGCTTGAGAAAAAAAAACTGTTCTAGGGAGTAGGATTGAGGCTGAATGGCGAGTGACAATCCCCCTTTTCCTGTCCAAACTCTACGTTTTGCGATACGCGACCGCACATGATGAAACCGCTAACAAAAACACCAAGCCAAACGGCTGTGTTGCGGGCTACACACCAACTACCGTAAATCCTCGAATTATCGCCCGGGGCGCTTACTTCAGATTTAGGGGAAGATGGGGGCGCTTATTCGAGGGGGAGGCGGGGGGCGCTTATTTAATTTTTCCCAAATGGTGCTGTAAAACAGTTTGTTATTGGAATCGCAGTCTTGTTAAGGCAGGTTTAGTATCATTAAAAAAGCAGAAGTGCAGTCTTTGATTTGATAAAGTTCTGTTGACACAGACCCACAGTTATTCGGGCTTTATTTGTGCGTAAACGTTACCATTTCAAATTTTTTTTCTTGAAAAAGAAACTATAATAAGAAATAAAATGCAAACAGCGGCAACAAACATAACACATGAACCACGCATGGTCTGGAACAACAATCTAAAATTTTCTTGACGTTTCGCATGCTACAGCACGCATCTTCAGAAGTGGCGGTTACAAAAAACGAAAGATTTAAAACTTAAAAAT